TATTATTATTATTATTATTATTATTATTATTATTATTATTATTATTATTATTATTATTATTATTATTATTATTACATTATCATTATAGAAAGATAGATCCGTTATAGAAAGAATGAACTGTAGTTACTATTTTTTTTATAATTTATTTCAAAATTTTTAACAGTTATCTTAATTCAAGTTTACATACCACGGGAGTTGAAGCTTTAATATATTCTTTATAATAATACTAACCGTCACGAAGCACTTAAGCACTTTATTATCTGTTATAAGTAATAACTTTTAAATTGCAAAATAAAACTGTGTAAAAAAAAAGAGCATGTCGACGTTATATCTTTTAGTGTGTATGTGTGTGTATACGCGCAATTTTTTTCGTTGAATATTATTCATATCCATAACAATTTATATTGCTCGTTTTCATCAATATTGTGAGACATTAAAATTAATGGTTTTTTTTATTTAAAGAAATAACACGCATTTCAAATAAGATGTGATTTTTTTATCTTCAACAAAGTTTAAAATGTCGGAACTCTGCTGATTGATTTCTGGAGGAGTTTTGGCAAGCATGTCATTTTTTTAATTTGTAATATACATTTAAATATTTATTTATTATAGAAACCTAAGTTGAACACGCAAACGAAAATCAAAGGGTAAGATGTGATTATTTTATAAAAAATGATCATTTTTTTTTCTGAAAATCATTTTTTTTTAATACATTTATAAAATCCTTTAATAATAATTATAAAAAAAAAATTTTTTTAAAAAAACGACATCTTCCGTAGCCAAAGGGAAACAACTTGAGCTAGGAAATCAAGGGATGCATGTACACACAGGATGTGTGTTTCTCACCGAGTTATTGTTGCGTATCCGAAGTTACGCTGCCATTAGGTGTAAAATGTCTGGGAATTGAAAGCTCTTCGTGGCCACGGTTTTTTGGCCGTGAACGTTCTTCCCAGTTTCCGATGGTCCCGAGCTAGCTTAGGATACTGGGAATTTATGGTGAATAGGATACACGAACCATGAATGAAAAGCTCTTCGTGGCCACATTATTTATTTAATGTGAACGTTCTTCTTGTTCTTGATAATGATGACGCATATACTCATTCTTGTTTATTGTTTATTTTTTATCAAATTATCCAGGGACCGGTCGACAAAGGGATCGATATTCAATATAAGAATTGGCACCGAATAATAGGTATTATATCAATCATATATGTGAATCACATTAATTAAGACCATATACATTTTTAATTTACAAGAAATCCAAAATAATTTTTAAGAGTAACGTCACGTTTTATTTCGCGTAAAAGGGATAATAAAATAATAAAATCACGAAAAACACTTCATAAATATATATTTAGAAGTCTTGTCTTCATTTTGGAACCAAAAAAACAATACTTATTATGTAGGTTATTAAGAAAACACCTTTAAAAGACAAGCAACGCTTGCGAATGAGTGGGTAAGCTCACAAACAAGTCTGTAAACTCACGAATGTATATGTTTTTTTAGTAATAATATAGGATACAAATAAAATAGAAGCTTTAAAATGTCTAATAAACCAGTAGTCAAGAAGTAATTAATAAATTAGTTTCGAAAGGCAATATTTCTTTAAAAAACTATTACAATTTTAAATTATACTAATTAATCTCTTTTTTTTACTAGAAATCCAAATTGGGTTGAAACCTTAATCACAGAGAATCCAACTTATAAAACTTTTACACGTGCTAATAGGGGTTATATGGTCTATAATTCTGAACAAGAGTATGAGGTTTTAGATCTATTTGCAAATGTTAAAGGGGAAAATGATCATAGCATTAATGGTTATTTTCAACATAAAAAAACAAAAAATTGGATTCCTTTGCTTCCTGGCCACATGGTAATAGGAAAGTTTGGCGGAAAGTATGCAAAGCTCTCTATTGTCAAAGCTGGTGAAAATCAACTGAGTTTTTCTTGGGTTATTTTTGAGGACATTCAAATGAATATAATAATAAATACGGGAAATAAAGCTGATTTTTTTAATAGCTTTATTAATGAAATTAAATTAAGTTTGTCAATTCCTGATATTCTTGGGTTCAATGATTCGAATTTGGTTTTACAATTTCAACAGGTTGTCAACTCATGTTTTCCAAATGTTTTTATCAAAGCAAAAAAACATTTTGCTGCTAAAAAAAAAATTGTTATGTTGAGTAACTCAACGAAAAGGAAAAGTCAAGAATTAGAGGAGGAATTTTTAAATGAGGATGATGGTCAAGTAAAGGTAAGTATAAAAAATGGAATTTCATTTACACAAAAAGGGATTGATTTGACACCAAAACAAACACAAGCACTCGCCATTGAATATGAAGGGTTAAAGAAGGAAGTATATCAAATCAGAAGAAAACACACAAAAAATCTAAAGAAATTTCAGTTTTTCAAAAACAACTCCATCCATCTCAAGAAAGTGAAAAAACAAAGGAAAAATTATCTAATATAATGAAAGATGCATTTGAAACCACTAACCTTGGTTCTACAATGTTGATTAACAGTGAACTATACCTAGGCCTTGTTCTCATGTTTCCATGTAGTTCATGTAATAATCAAAATATAGAAAAAAAAAATTCACCTTTACTAAAAATGGTTTTTCCTTCATGATCAAAGCAAAATGCCATGTATGCAATGCTGTTGCAGAATTCAACAATGAAACCAACAATTCAAGTTTTGCAACTATGTTTGCTGGATCAGGACTACTTGGAGGTGTTAATCGACAACAATTAGAAACTATCTCTTCAATGCTTGGCATAACCTCCCAAATATCAAATAGATTCTATTATGAGAAGCAAGAAACATTTTACGAAAATATAATAGATCATGCAGAAATTAGTACAGAGGTAGCGTTAAATGATGCAATAGCATATACAAAATCACAAAATAAAAATGTACTCCCTGTAAGCTTTGACTGTTCATGGTCTTATGGGCGTAATACTAATCAAGCAAGTGGTGAGTTTATATATCAAGATGATCTTCCAGGTATGTCTCTAATGTTCTTTTAAAGGTTATGAACATAAGCCCATAATTGCATTTCAAGTGATCGAAAAATCACAAACAACTACTCATCAAAGAAATGATAGTGAAAAAGAAACACACACTATATATGAAGGAAATCTTCACGGCAAATGGAACATGCTGTTTTGTTGAGGATTCTTGAAAAAATAACACCTGAATTAGATAAAGAAAACATGTTATTAGATATTTGTGTAGATGGTGACTTAAATTCTAATAAGACATTAAATGGAATACATCAAGTAAATAAAATATATGGGGATTTGAAACATATTGGAAAGAATATCAGAGCTAAAATAGGTAATTGATTTTTGAATTAACATATATAATAAATAATTATACTCAATTTTATTTATTGCTTTAGTCAAATATCCTGCATGGAAAAATTATGAAAACTGTATTATGCTATTACACATCATGTGTTTATGCTGCAAGTATGAGTAAATTAGATGAGGAAATCATCACAATATCAGAAGAAGAACTAGAAATAACACAAATTCATGGACTTACATGTCATTTGTCAGGTGATCATAGCAAGTGTTGGGAAGAAGTTTGTTGGATAAAAGATAATCCAGATGTAGAGTTACAAGAGCCACATCTTTTAAATCATACTCCTTATCAAAGAAATTGCTTTGAAGAAATGCTCAAGGCATGCTTTTACATTCCTACAAAGCAGAATTTAATAACTCATATTCGTACATCTCATAATGAAGCATTTAACAGAGTTAAATTATGTTTCTTGGATAAAAAAATCGACTTCTGGAAATCCTTTCAAACAAGACATGTACTTGCAGTTATAAAACACAATGAATGCCTTCTTGAATTGCTTCAAGTCTCAAGGCTTGTTCCTGAATTTGAGGCCTTAAGTTTGTATGATATAGAAAACATTAAGAAACTTGAAAATAATCATACAAGACAAAATAAAATTAATGTTAGCAATATTGTACAAAGAAGCATTCAACGAGGAAAGGTTATAGAGGAACAAAAAAAAAGTTTGGAGTCATTTGATTGGGATAAGGCAAATTTTAATTAATTTTATTAAATATTATTTATTACCTTTTTAACAAACTTTTATTTCAAGGACTTTGTTCCATATGGTAGAAGTGTACAAGAAAAAATCAAAGCATTAGAGTTTGAACCTTCTTTTGCTAAACATATATTGGACTTTACAAAAATTCTTAAATGCCAAGCTTGTCATGCATTCAAGAAAAATGGTGCTCTTGGATTATGTTGTCTTTGTGAGTATTATTTGAATTATGGATTATATGATCAGCTGCTTGACAAAGGGTACAAATATGAAGGTCATTTAATAAAACATCCACCAAAGAACTTGAATTATCAAGATGTACTTACCTCAGTTTTTGGATTTGATGGCTTTCAAGAAAATCAAGAAGCAGCAATTAAAGTGATACATGAAGACAGTGATGTTTTTGTATCAATAAGAACAGGAGGGGGTAAAACACTTTGTTATTGGATGGCAGCTTTATTACAAGGAGGATTGACCATTGTATTTAGTCCACTAACAGCACTAATTGATGATCAAATGGTAAATAAATATCCGTTGTATTTTTAAAAGCAATGTCCAACAAATTTAGGCATGTTGTTCAAACTTATTTATTATTTTCTTTTTTTAGGTTGAAATGGTTCATGCAGGAATTCCTTGTTCTGGATTATATTCAAGCACAATTATGTTACCTAAGTATCAAGAAAAAATTTTTGCTGAAATAGCATCAGGGCTACCAAAAATTTTATTTATCACTCCAGAAAAATTTCAAAAAAATAAATCATTTCAAGAAATGTTGAAGCAATATAATAAAAATGCACCACTAACCTTTATCATTGATGAAGCACATTGCATCAAGGATTGGGAATACTTTCGGTATGTATATACAAACAAAATGAATTAAAATTCAAGATATTATTTTTATTAGTAATAATGGATAAAAAAATTTTGTTTTATAGTGATTCATATAGCTACCTTTCAAATTTAAAAAAATTCTTTCCAAAAATTCCGATTATGATGTTAGCTGGGACTTTCACATATGAGATGTCCACCAGCAATATGGGGGTCTGAGAACTCCTGGCCAAAATTGAGTTTTTTGCATAATGTATATCTATATCATAAGGATTATAGTTGGTGAAAAATTTAGAACATGTTTACCTAGTACAATAATGAGATACAAGACTTGAAATATTTACTTTACATATCAAAACTATTTGTGTAACCAATTTTGTTTTGATAATAACACAGAACAATTTAATAGTCTCAGACCCCCTTTTTGCTGGTGGACATCCCATATTCAGATGTGAATTATATATGTGGAAAGCTCTTACCAAATCCTGCAAACTGTACAATAATACGTGGAAATTCCAAAACAAGTCCTGAGTTGCATTTTGAAATTAGAAAAAAAAGTACCAAACAAAAACTGGTTGATGATATATTAATCCAGCTCAATGATTTAGGAATAGGTCATGCAATTATCTATTGTGCAACCATTAAAGTATGTGAAGAATTAGCCACTTTACTGGTTGATTGTAGTGCACCATTGCAATATACCATGGTAAGTTAGAAAGCCAATTGAAATCTCTCAGACTAACTCTTTGGAAAAATGGACAAATTCAAATAATGATTGCAACAAATGCATTTGGATTGGGAATAAATATGTCTAATGTTAGATTAGTAATTCATTATACATTTCCAATAAGTATTGGTAAGTTTTTTTTGAAAAAACAGTATAAATTGTTTGCATATTCTAATAAAAATAATTATTATAGGAAATCTTGTCCAAGAAACTGGGTGTGCAGGTCATGATGGTTTATCTTCTCGAGCAATCCTTTACTACACTAGAGCAGATCTTGAAACAATATATAATATTGTGGCAAATAATAGAGAAAGGTAAAATTTGTGATTGATTGTTTTTCACCTATTAGTTTTTATAAATTTATTTTATTGATAGTGGAGACCAAGAGAATAATGAAGAAACTACCAGTCAATTGTACCTCAAAAAAAAATTTTTGAAGTAATTTACTATTGCAAAGAAAAGTATTTATGTTGTCAACAATTGATGGCTGAGTACTTTGCATGGCCAGGTGATACCAATGGTTCACGGTGTTGGCAGTGTGACAATTACATTCGGTTTCAAAATGAAAGTACAATATGTTTGGATGTTAAAACTGACATTTTGAAAATGATTGAAGTTATAAATGAGATAATTGAATTTAACAGAACTACTCCAGTGAAGCAGGGGAAAACTACCACGTTCAAAGACATTTTGCAAGTTTTTGTCAAATAAAGCTGGACAAAGCTGAACTCTCAACACTTATATCATATAATGAAAAAAGAACTCTACAAGTGAAAACAAAAGATGAAGCATGCCACCTTTTGGATTATTTGGTAACATGTGGTGTAATTAAATTTGATATTTTTGTTTCAAGACCTACTGGTAATTCCACATACACTAGTTGTCAACCAATTGTTTTAGGCATAAAAGAAGGCGCAACTGCTTTTGTGCATGATAGGATGTGGGAATTTATTAAAAAAAAAGGTAAGGGAAGCAACTAAATATTAAAACATTTTTATTTATTTCTCTTAATATTAATACAAAAATTGTAATAATTGATTTTGTTATGGTCGATCACTCCACCCTTAAGCATTTAAAAAATCCACTACGTTGTCGGGTCTTGCTAAGGAAGAAAACTCGAAATTGATGTCGTCAAGAAATTAAGGGAGGCTGATGTTGAACACGAACATACAGGGTGAGTGTTTCTCGCTGAGTTATTTTGTTGAGTTGTTGTGTATCTGAAGTTACGCTACCATTAGGTGTAAAATGTCTGGGAATTGAAAGCTCTTCGTGGCCACGGTTTGGTTCTTCTCAGTTTCCGATGTTCCTGAGGCACTGGGAATTTATGGTGAATAGGATACATGAATTATGAATGAAAAGCTTCTTCGTGGCCACATTATTTAATGTGAACGTTCTTCTTGGTTCTTGATAATGATTGTTTATTGTTTATCAATTATCCAGAGAACCGGGAGACAAGGGAATCGATATTAAAGGAGTTGTTTTCGGGTTCCAGTTCGTGATTCAATGCATAGATTTATTAGATGTAGTCGTTGGTCGACTTAATAGATTTAAAAATTTCTTGTATATATTTTTTTTTATTTTCATTTTTTTTAACATATATATATTTCATCGTAAGTCTTATTAGTACTAATACTGAAAAGATTCTAGTAATAGTATGTTTTTGATCCTGTGTATAACATACATAATGTGTAAAATACTTATTATAAAATAATAAATAAAATGTATAAATTGTCTTTAACACTTATTTTGATCAAACCCGCCTATATAATTATTGAATAATTGATAAACATTCGTTTTGCAAGCTTCATAGATCTTGTCTAACACTTACTTCGATCAAACCCGCCTATATAATTATTATGTGTTATAAGTGTTAAAAGAAACTTCTGGTGTTCAAGTGAATGTTATACGCACTAATTAAAAAAGAGAGAAAGGATTTGCACACTGACTGCTAACACTATATAGGCAAAATTAATTTTCTCATGACATCATTTTGAAATTTACTAAACTCTTAAAATTTATTAACCTATTCTTAAAAGGGTAGTATAAAAATATAATTCCCATTATAATTTAAAAAAAAATTTTTTTTTTCAAAATAATTTTATAAAAATCTTTTTTTTTTCAAAATAATTTTATAAAAATCTTTTTTAAAAAATTTACTATGTTGCCAGCTGTTGCAGTTGTAAACAAATTAAGGGATGCAGGGATTGAGCACGAACATAATGGGTGAGTGTTTTTTACTGAGTTATTTGTCGAGTTCTTTGATGATGATGATGCATTATACTCATTATTGTTTATTGTTTATCAATTATACAAAGGGCCGGGCGACAACGGAATTGATATTAAAGGAGTTGTCTGCGACATCTCATTTGTTGTAAAATGCAAGAATTGGTTTCGAAGAGATATAGGTATTATATTAATTATATGTGAATCACATTAATTAACATAACTTTCAATTAATTAATATCAAACATTGTTGTATGTGTTTATGACATTAAAGGTGTACTTGGTTCAGGCACAGGTATAATTTTAGTAATCACTATTATATGCGAATATTTTGAAATTTTTGCTAAGGTATGCAAGAAAAAAATATTTAGTATAATGGGGTTTTTTTGTTTAATAATTCACCGCATATTTTTTTACTTTCATTTTGCAAAAATATAGGTGAAAGCTGTTGAAGGAAATCTTGATGAATTATTATTCTAAAAAAATACACTCCCTGGACAAAAGTATCCGGACACCTTTTTTTACTATACACAAAAACGCACATAATAACTATACATAAAATTTTGGCAAATTTTGGCTTAGGTTTTGACAAACATGCATGTAAAATTTGATGCTTTTAGAACGTCTAGAAACATTTTAGTTAAAAAAATACGAAACTCGACGAAAATCGCGATATCATTTTTTGTTTATTTAATTTACCCAAAATCCTACATAATAATAAAAATAAAAATTTATATCATTTTGTAGCTTAGGTTATCTAGTATATGTATGGAAAATTTTGTAGCTGTAGCTAGCATAAATAACTTATAATAAAATTAAAAAATTAGTAATTAAAATCGCATTTTGTAAAAATTAAGATTGATAAAAAATTTTTTGATCTTAAAAATGCCAAAAAACGAAGAATTGTCAGAATTTATCTGAGGAAAAATTTTAGGCCTTCATGAAGGTGGTAAGAGTGTAAGAGATATCACCAAGAAGCTAAAAATCCCAAGAAGCACAGTTCAAGACACCATTTCTCGTTATAAAAATCTAGAAAATGTTAAAAGTGCATCAAAAAGTGGTAGACCAAAAGCTTTAGATGAACTTGAACAAAACGAATTAAAAGTGCTAGTAAAAACAAATAACCGCATGTCAGCAAATATGATCCAGAAAAAATTTGCTGAAGAAAATTATCTTGTGGTTTTGACTAAAACAATTCATAGGAGCTTGTATATTATTACCAGCATTTAAAAAATTTAAAAACTTTATCACTATGTGATAAACAATTAAAACATTTCAAAAATATTTCACTGGAAAATATTGAATCCATGAAATTAAACATTCATCATCAACCATTCCTTTTAGACTTATTGAGTTTTATTAACACAAATGGTAAAACTCTTAAGGATATAGATCTTGATGGTACTTCAAATGATAGTGAATTTCTAGGAAAGCTGTTTCAATCAATTGCACAGCATTGTAAAATCCTAGAGGATTTATCAACATTTTATAAGAATGAATTAGACTAGGAATTAATGGAATTATTTAATAATTGTTTTAAATTAGAAAGTATTAGAATTAAACCAGTTTTTAATATAGATAGATTAGATGGTGACAAAATTTTTTCAGTATTAAATCAAACATTACCAAAAAATTTAAATCAATAAGTTTACCTCATTGGACTATTAACATCAATGATGATTCTTTTGATAATCTGATGAAGAATTGGAAAGGTCCCAAATCTTTTACAGTGAAATATTTTTTTTAGTTATAATTTTTTTTATTTTTTTATTTTTTGCAAAATATTATAAATTATATAATACAAACAAATATTAAAAATGTAATTTTTTGAATAATTAATGGTAGTAATAATAAATTTAAATTTATTTCCTTCAATTTTATTATAATTGTTTGATCTTTTAAATGGTAACATAATATTAGAAATATCATTGAAGGCATGATGTGAATCAATACTTTTATCTGGATACTAGAAGTTAAATAAGAAATGAATGGATGAAGGTAAGTTGAGAATGGCTGTAGATCCTAATGAAACCAGAGAATGAGCTAAAAACTGTAAAAGAATTTGATTTGATAACATTACCATCGAAGAGATGTTAGAAGGGTTTATTGATTACTCAAATGACTTAGCTTCAGAATATGCAGGAAGTTGGTCAAAAATCAGTGATTTAAATTTCCAAAAGTTTGAACAAAAGCAGGAATATGAAGAAAAGTTAAAAGAAAAGGAGGAACAGATTAAAGAATTAGAAGAAGCATTAGAATTAGAAGAGGAAACATCTGAATCAGGGCTAGAAATAGTGTCTGAAAAAAAACAGAAGTTTCTCCTGAATGCTAAAAATTTTCTGGAAGAAAATTTTTTGGGAAAAATTTGAAACCTATATCTTGCAAAAGAATAAATAGCATGAAATTAGAATATCAAGTTAATGAGCTGAGGGGAGGAGATAAATGGCATTGTAATTTCTGTCCTTTTGAAAAAGAAAGGAGTTTAACTGCTACTTACAAAATAGTATCTACAATACAAGCAATAATGATTACAATGGCATTGCTTATATTTGTGTTGAGTGTAAAAAAGCTCTTGATGATAATACTTTGCCACATTGATGTGATTGTGGTAGAATTATGAGAAACAGGATAGATTGTTTTTGTGATTTAAGGAAAGATGAACCAGCTAAAACCCCAATCTTAACAGAAATAATGGCACAGAGTTATTGGAACAGCAGAATAAAGACTTAAAACAGCAACCATCCAGTGCTAAGGAAGAAATCAGTACTCATTTGGAAGCCTTAGAAGTTTCAAAGAATTGACATAATAAGCAAAGGCAAGAATTATTAGATAAAATTAAAAGACTTGAAAGCAAGGTTGAAACAACAGAACCAACAAGTTGCTCAAATTGAAATTAAAGAAACAAAGAGATGATCTTGATTGAAAATAAGAAAGTAGTTTAAAGAAATTCTGTATAAATTGAAATTTATTAAGAAATAATGCACCATCATGATGCTTTCTTTTTCTAACATTTATTATTTTTCTTTCTTCTTGGTAAATTTCATAAATAATCCTTTCTTTCCTTAGATGAGCTTCCAGTGTCTGAGTATCATTTATTTTGAAAACATAAGGTGCAATTTTTTCACCTTGCTCTTTCTTCAAAATACTTTTAATGGCGCTATAATTCTTGAGTTCCATGGTAGACCTAATGTAAATTAACTTCATATTAACTATTTTTATATAGGGATAATTCTATCTATCACTTAAGATAACAAATGGGATATTATAAAACTGTTAATTATATAATCATATTACAAATGACTAAATTTTGATCCCTGAAATCATTGGTAAAACCCATGTTCACTTTGCCTGGTTTTGTTGCAGCATGCCCCAATTAAAAGGGATTTCTCCATAAAGTGGGAATATTGATATTATTCCATTGTTTATTTACTAAAATACAAGAATATAGTGTGTTATAATCATCTCCAAAATATTTGAATACTGATATCAAAAGTTCCGGTGGTAAATTAAAAGAACCTATCTTTAATATAGAAGGAAAAAGGGAAAATTGTGAAAATTCTCATTTTACTTGTGTAACGACGATCCTAAAAAATCAATTCACAAAAATGTTTAATTTTATTATTAAAAGGTTCTTTTTTTCAACTTGTTCAACTTACAAAAGAAATCAAAAAAAAAGACTCATAGTTCCTAAGGTTTTAAAATTACAACAACAACAACCAATAAAAAGGATATCAAGATTAGGTAAACATCACGATTTAAACAGTTATATAAAATCATTTGAGTCAGCAGAAGGAGACAACAAAATTCATAAAGGAACGGTTTACAAAGGGACTATTTATGAATATGAGACAGTTAAATGTTTAGAAAATGTTTTTGGTATTGTTTCAAGACGTGTAGGTGGAGCTGGTGATAAAGGTATAGATTTACGTGGCCAATGGTTCTTATCAGAAAATAAGAAGTTTAATATAATAGGGCAATGTAAAAATTTATCTCAATCATGTAAATCAAGTTCAGTCAGAGAATTTGAGGGAACTTTATGTCATGAATCCTTAAATACAATTGGTATATTATCATCAAAATCTGGATTCAGTAAAAATTCTATCTCAAGGTTTCAAACATCACCAATGCCTTTAATCCTGATGAAAGTTTCACAAGGAGGAAATAATTGTGAATTGATTCTTTTTAATGATACTGCTAATAAATTATTACATTAGTAGTAAATTCACCAATTATTTTTCTTTTAAAAAAAGAATAAAATTATTAAAATCAACTGATAATCTTCATTCTCCCAACAACTATATTAATAAAAAAATTAAATTTGTGTAAATTATGATGGCTCAAGGTACTAACTTTTTGAAGTCTTGAGGATTATTTCAAATGCTTTGGCTATGACTATTTTATTTTCCTAATTCTCTTTTTATTATTGTTATTGTTGTCTTTATTGTTGTCTTTGTAGTTGTTGTTGTCATTTCTGTTGTTATCTTTGTCATTGTCACCAATATCTTCTTCTGGATGCTTTAACATTAGTGTCTACTACAGTTGCTGATGAGCTGAATATCTTTTCACCCAGGAACTCTACATTTGAAAATAATTTTTTTCCTATCAGATTGTGATGAAGTGGAAGTGACAGTTGTGACAGTGGAATTAGGAGGCTTTTTGTTATATTTTCTTTTCTGTTTTTTTTTTATTGGTGGTGCTGGTTGACTAGTTTTCTTATAAATTTGGTTTTTTTTCTTGTCATCATCTGCTATTATCACCATCATATTATCATCTCTACCATCACTACCATCATCTTTGTTGTTATTATTATCATCTTTATTATCATCACAAATTTTGATATCTTTAGAAAATGATCTCTTTCTTCCTCAATCTCAAGATCAGATCCATAAAAGATATCTTCTGCTGTATATTTAACGTTGTTATTTATTTGATCAATGTGATCACAATTCTCATCATTATGAGTTATTTTTGATGTTGATGATGATGATGATGATGTTGATGATGTTGATGATGATGATGATGATGATGGAGTTGCTAGATTATTGCTGTCATTTGATTTGAATGATTGCGGGATTTTTGAATATAAGATCAAAAATTCATGTTGAAGAATGGGATTTGTAATATTATCAAATGAGGTCCTCAAATTTTATCAGCTGGAAATTCAACATTTAACGATCGTGGTGACAAAATGAGCAAAGTGTAAGCATCTCAGATAAATATTTATAACTAACATGGGAAACCATAGTACATTTGTCCATTATATATATTGATTCATTCAAACCCATTACTTACATCGATTAGCCCTTTATGAGAAACAATTATGATTCTAGATAATATTTATACATAAGTTCTTTACAGAAACATCAAGGTTCAATTTAAATAATCTATGGTATACATTATTATGTATATAAATTTAAAATGCAATAATAACTAGTAATACATGCACAAACAAAAAGGTTGAGTCCATTAGATGTAATTATTTAAGCGGATTGGTTGTCCGGTTTGCTATGGGTGGGTAATAGTAAGTGTCCAATATTCATATTCAGATCCGAGCTCTAACCGACAGCTCGACGATTTTTCCAGCAAATATAATAATCACCTGTATTCTTTTCAGTTGGAAATACGAGTCTTTTTTAATATTACAATCTTCCAAGTGATGTGGCTATGATCATTGGTCAATTCGTCTTCATTAAAAATAATAATAATGGCAATTTTTTCATGATTCCAAATTTATCATCGTCAATAATTCTTCTCGTGATCCTGATGAAATAAAAAATGATTTGACTTCAAGAATGACATCATCCTTGAAGTCAAATCAAGTTCTATAATTTTTTCAATTTGTGTTTTCACATGGAAACAATTTTGTTTGAACCAAGCCTCCTTCATATGGTAAATTAAAAAAACCCAAAAGTCATTGACCCCTTCAACGATAATTTAAATATGGACACTCATCCGCACTCCCAAGTATTTGTCTTGCATTATATACAAGTTTATACTTTATTTATTATTTTTAAAATATGCTGAAAGTGAATATTTTTTTGTAAAAATGTTAACAAACTGGTATCATGTATCGTGATTATCTTTATAAAAGACATCACGCACATGTAAGTAATGAATTCAATTAGAATAGAACCGTTGACCTCTCTCTCTAAAATCATATCATAATAAATTTTTTAACAATGGCTCTGCTCGTAACAAGTATGAAAAGGGTATCTATCATTTGTTAATAATAAATTTTAAAAGAAACTGTTAAACGACCCATCGAAGTTCAAGATCATAAGTTTGATATCAGTTTCCATCGCATTACTCACTTCCTTTTCATTATAAACCTTTTCACATGTAAAAGCAAATTAGAATCTTTCACTTGAAAAATTGAGTTTTATTGTCAATTAATTAATATGTTATGTAATATATGTGTATATATATATAAAGTGTATGTAATAATTAATACTTTTGGGGATAATTATAATTATATACAAAAAATAAAAACGAAAAATAAAAAAATCTAAAAATTTATATTATATTAAAAAAATTTTAATGAAAATTAGGTTTAAAAATTAATATTAAATTTAGTTCTAGATTATATTTAAAGATTAATGATGTTTCGTAGAATTACTACGATGACGATGATGTCTAGTAACATTACCATTACCACCACTGCTGCCACCACTACTACTATCTCCACTACTATTCCCAGTATTTTGATGACTTTGATGACGACGGTAATGACTGTTACTACGTTTTCTATCACTGTTACCACCACTACTACTATTAACAGCATTATTATTATTAAGATTGTTATTATTGTAGTTAATAGGATTTATTCTATTATTACTATTGTTATTATTGTTGTTGTTGTTGTTGTTGTTGTTGTTGTTGTTGTTGTTGTTGTTATTGAGTTTCTTTCTATGACGATGTTTTTTTGTTGATTTTTCATTGTAAAGTTTATCAATGAAATCTAATTCTTCTTCTTTCTCCTCTTCTTCGTCGTCGTTGTCACTATTTTTCTTTTCGGATAATCTTCCACCCATCATCACCATACCCAAATTGCCCTTGCAACATTCTTTAACATCTTCTAATAATAGAACACACAACCTTTTCGTCGGAACAATTAAGTCGGTAAGTGGACTTACATATTTAAGATCTTTATAGATTTTTAATTGAACGAATGAAGTACCCATCCCTATTGAATCTAAAAGTTGGAAAAAGTTCTTAGTTGATGTTGTTGGAGTAAATTTGTCCTGTGGAATGTCAATGTTGATATCAAAAACAGGAATTATAATTAGTTAATTAATTAGCGATTAGATATGTAGAAAATGATTATTCAAATAGTAGTAATAAGTATTATTATTTACATTTTCACCATGAATTAAAACTACTCTTTTTGGTAACATCATTTTAACTTGTTCTCGAAGATCATGACGAGATAATAGTTTACTTAGTAAATAAGTTGGAGAGCATTGAAGAAAAGATTCAGATGTGTTCCCTAATAAATAATGTGATGATGTTGACGAAAATAAATTTTTTGGTTTTATATTTTTAAAACAGAATAATATTAATCATCATTATAATTGAGATTGACTAATTACCCATGACCCTTGGCATAGCATGAACTTGTTCAAGTCCCATATTATATAAATATGCATAATAATAAGTCACATCATAAACTCCAGAAAATCTACAAAATTACAGTAATTAATAATTAATTAATACATTATCAACTAAATATCTTATAATAAATAAATAAATAAATAAGATTATTATTATAATAAAATTTTACTTACAACATTAAACCAGCAATTCTTGGTAGTTCGGATCTTTTAAATGGGTTATTATTAAACACAGGAAGATGTATACTTGAGTTGTTGAATGGCAGGACATGTAAAGTAGCACAAATATTATGGACCACAGTTAAAGCAGAAATGAGAGCACCGGCTGAATGTCCCATCAAATAAATTTGTGATGGATCTCCTTTATATTGCCTTTTTTTTTAAAAATATATATATATCGAATTGATCATTGGATTGATTTTAGATGGTTTAATTAGAAATTTAAACTGGAAAGAAACAAGTATGACAATTACCTGATATGAGAATGTGTCCAATAAATACAATTTTGTACATCTGATACCATTTCTGAAATTTTACCCTAAAACAACAATTATAAATAAATAAGTCTACATTCTTATTTATATTTATAAATATATTTTTTTTTCTTTAGAATTAAATATTTACTTGTGGATATAAAGTGATATCAGGAACTACCACCACATAACCTTGATTTTGAAGATTATTTGCAAATGGCATACAAGTCGCCTTGTTTCCAGAATTCCAAGAATTACCAATAAATATTATAACAGGAGATTCATTATTATTATTTGCAAACAATAAATTTTCTTCATGATGACCTTTAAGTGTTGTCGTTGGGAGTCTATTTGGAACATAAACATCCAAACGATTTCTTGGTCTTGGACCGTATATAATATTTTTTCTATTATTAGAGTGAAATTTGAGAGAGAGAGATGTTAGTGGATGAAATTGGAGATAATGAATTATATAATCTATCGATTAGTAAAATCTATTATTCGCTTACGCTGTAAAAGATTCAATTCGTTCGCTTGATAATTTATGCCAACCATATTGGATTATTGAGGGTAGAAATGGACCCGTTACATTCTCATAGAAACGATTTATGACGTAACAGGCAACTTTATAAACTCTTTTAGGATTGAAAGGAACAATTGGTTGAGATACTGGTGCATCGGTTTGTGCTAGGATGAGGGGAAAGTAAGTAAAAGAAAGCAAGAAAGAAAATATAAGGAGTTAGAAAATAATTAAACAAACTAACTAGAATTATAATTACAACTATGGATATATATATATATATAATTCGAGTTAAATTACCATATAATAAATAAAATGCCCAACATATCGAATATCCAAAAACTATATGAAATAAAATATAATATGAATATTGGATTAAATTTTTAAAAAAAATGATTATAATGAAAAATTATGATTGATAGTTACGAATTATTAACGATGAAATTGGAAAAAATATCCAAACTAGTAAAATTATTGAAAGTTTTTTTAACGTTTGGATTTCCATTCGGTTTTATTTTTTTATAATTTTTTTTTTATAATTTTTTTTAGAATTTTTTTTCTCTAATTTTTTAAGAATACATTCCGAGTAATCTCTTCTTATATTTATTATCACTATTATAACCTGTATATATTATTATCATTTTATTGAAAAAATAATTTACCGATAATAATATAATAAAATATACATCATCACACATGCTAATTGGAGTTTTTTGTTTTGAATAACTTTTCCGTTGATTTTTCAAATTGTATTAGTATCATTTATAAAAATGAACGCCTGCGTGTGTTACAATTTGTTTTTTTATTGTAAAGATAATAAAAACAATATAAATAATATTATATAATATATACATATATAATTTAATTCGCAGAAATTCTGAAAAACAATGGATATAAAAAAAAATATAGATAATAATAGTAATTGCAATTATGGCAAAAAAATTTAAAATTTAAATCAAGTAAAAATCAAGCCAATTGCAATTACCGTGAAATATGTATTATTAATATATATATAGCGTTAATATATGCGCGTATGTATGTGTGTGCGTGTGAAGAAAAGAGGAGAGAGATAGAGATATAGATAGAATCAATCAGGAGATTTTAATAAAGATTACGTTTTAATGTTAATTTTTTATACAGTAATGGCAATTATTATAATAATAAATTTCTCCGAACCATTTAATTTATAAAATAGTTCTATTAAATAGTGAATAAATTCATATGAATAATCATTTTGTCACATGTAACAAAAATTATTAATAAAATTTAATCAATTTTATTTTTTTAGGATAATTTGGCTAAAAGGAAACGGCAAAGAAAATAAACAAATAAACAAATAAACAAATAAAAAATACTATAACGTGTGTGAGAATGAGAAAGATAGATTAGACAAAGAAGAAGAAAGAGGGCTAAAAAATTTTATTAAAACTAAACAAATAATAAATAATCAGTAGATACCGTAATATTTATGACAAAGTTACACGAAACTACTTATTTCTCCAACAAGAAAAAAATCAACGTTACCCTATTCATTTTCTAGAAGCTAATAGATCAATGGCAAAATTTTCCATCTATTTGTTGGCCATTTTTCACCAAATCTTTCTCTACCCCATTTCTCATTCTCTTTAGCTACAGAACTTAACGCCACCACTACCCATATCAATATTATCCAATTGGTTATTATAAGACCTTTTGTCAATATTACAAAACTCACATAAATTAATATTTCAGCGAAATAATGAGGTGATGAAATATAATTAAACCAATCTCCTTTAGGAACTGAGTAAGTTGAGTGGTTTTGATTGGAACGTAATGAAGCAAGTATACGATGTAAAATATTTTGATGGTATGATCCATAAATAAATAATGTTAAAGCTAAAATTATGTTCCAAGAAAAAAAGTCCCCAAATTCAACTATAAAAATAAATTTAATTTAATTATTTTTCCCAGTTATTTATTTATCAGTTAACTAATCAACCAATCAATTACCTTCTTTTGTCCACACGTTATCGCCTTTTTTATTATTATTATGAATATTAAAATGATCCATTCCTTCAATCCAAACTGCCATCCCAGTAATATAATAATAAGATATCCCTGCGATAAAATATAAACAATGGAATTTGGATGTATCGGATGGTCTCTCTATGAAATAACTTTCATAGAATCTACGCAAAACCTGTATTTCAATCATTATCATTGCCAATATAGTTTCAGACAATGGCTGTTTCTTATAATAATTATATTCTTCTTCTTCTCCCAAATAATTTACCCATGAAAATTTCATTGGTAATTCATAATCAATAAAATTGACCATTTTTGAAAATAGATTAACATTATTATTTACTCCTGATGTAGTTGTAGTTGCTGGCAAAATCAAAATTTCTAGTATTATTAAACTAATCCATATTGTGCCAAATGAATAAAAATATTTAAACCATTTTTTTGGTAAGGTTAATGTTGTAAAATATTGTTCAATTTTATTTAATCCCTTCTTCTGATCCTGATTATTCTTTTGATTATTAGAATCAATCCTACCATACTGTAAAATGGTGGCATGTAACACATTCAATGTTTTATCATATATTAGAAAAATTAAAGTCATGATGATGTAATATATTCGAATGAAAATTAATAGTATCATTGTATATTGACTGTTTTTGTTTTTGTTTTTAAAAGTTTATTTCTCTAAATAGTTACAAGAAAAAGTTTAAGTGTAACCAAGAATAGGGGGTTCAATTTGGTTTCACTACAGTTTTAAACGGTATTTTTTTGAGAATTTTATTCTTTATATTAAAATACAATTTATAAACAATTCCTTTAAAAATAATATGGTTTACCCCATAATAAACAGGCCAAACAAATAAATAATGCTCAAAATAGATAATTAATAATTTGCTCATTAGTATGTAAAAATCAGGGACATCGTTAATGTTTTGAACCATAAAAACTTGGGATTCAGATCTTGCAAAACTTATTATTATGATGATGAGTTGGTTGCAATCGTACGACTATCGAAAGTACAAATCAAAAAATCTCTCAGAAATATATTATTATTACGTTGATTTATATAAGGATTTTCTAATAAATTTAAAATTGTATTTAATATGATGAATAATAACTAGATTACATTCTCCATATACGAGACCAGAAATACGTTTAACTCTCACCCGCCTAGTAAATCTTCAGATTGCAAGTTTTATTATGTCTTGAGTATTATTGCGGAGGATCTTATGGTAAATTTTTCCAATCCTTCCTTTATCGTGATCAAACACATGTATTATTTTATCATTATAATAGGAAAATACATACAAGTCATAAAAAGAATAAAATCTTTCAATCTGTCATTAATTACGTAGCACTTCAATAATGGGAATAGGTAGTGGTTTGTTACTATCATCATCTCCTTCGCTTACGATCATATTCATAATATCAATTTAAGCCTTCTTCTACTATCCAAAGTTTCTTCTTTTCATTCCTTCATCTTTTTTTCTATTTCTTCGCGAGATAATTTACCAATCTCATCTGTCATTGAACTAATTTCTTCTTTTAAAAAAAGTATATACCTATTTGTAGTGGCAAATTTTATTTCTACAAAAAAAGAACAAATTAAAAATTTGTTTTGCCCATTCAAAGAAATTAATTCACTTACACATGAAGAAGAAGATGGTGATAGAAATTGATACTTTTAACCCATTACAAAAAAAGATAAACCAAAAGAAAGTGATATACTTACAGTAATAGTGGTAGAGCTTGAAGATGAGGAAGAGGATTAAATAAATACAAATTTAATCTAATCAACTCAAATAATAAAACATACAGATCAGGCCTTCTCTCCTACGACATTCTTTTGTCGCCTTGATTTAATCGTGCAACTATAGTTAATGTGATGGCTCCTAGTCATCATTACTATCACCCAATCAGATTCTATTCACCCTTGTCAAAGACTTTTTAATTTCTGACATTTATTTAATTTGATTATCCAAAACTTACCATTATTATTAAAATATTCTTTTTGTAGGTGTAGGTTAATCCCAACCCAGGTTCTGCAGAATGAGGAATCAAAAGTGGGGCATGAGACTCTGATTTTATAAAGTTGCATTGGGTTTTCTTCATTTTATAAAGAACCTATTAAATATATACTCTTACATATCAGGGAATCTCTGACATTAAAAAGAAAGCCATAAAATCAAATGGCAAAATATTGAATTTTAACATTAAGATTCCTACACTCAATTGCTTCTTCTGTGTTCGAGACATCCATATGCAAATAAATTGGCTTTTAAATTAATAAATTAATTCATTACAAAATTTTTTTAATAACGAGGTAGGAACTTGTCTATTTTCTTGACAATTAATTCTCGGTATGACCTGTTTCTTGTTACACGATCAAAACTAATTTTTATTCGCTGATCAGAAGGAACAATAAAAAAATAAAAAATAGCTATGCAACAAACAATCCCAACAACCTCAACAACAACGAAGTATTCATCCAGTTCAAAAAGTAGCTTCTACTAGTAATGATAATGGCAAAGTATTTACCCAGTTCAAGGTTAGCTTCTTCTACTAATAATGACAAACAACAGCAAAGCATTTACCCAGTTCAAGGGGTAGCTTCTTCCACTATTAATGATGAACAATAACAACAAAGCATTTATCCAGTTCAAAGGGCAACTTCTTCTATTAATAATGACAAACAAACAACAACAAAATATTTAAAGGGCAATTCATCTTCATCAAAACTTTCATCAAATTCATCTAAACCAGTTGCTTCTTGAAACATATTTAGAAACAATGCCTTTCATGAGTTGACATTTTAATAATTATTTATATTAATTATGCATAAATTTAAAACATTCTTTAAAAAAACGCATAAATTTATTATGTAGATCAGTGCCAAAGATAAATGTGGAAACAGCTAGGAAATTTTCTGCTCAAAGTTGATCCAGGAACACCCCGTATTATTATGCCAGATCATCCCTGCATAACGGATAATTTTAAAATCTGAATTTTATTATTGTACCAAATTTTTTTCTTTTCGAAATTAGTTTCATTTTCGCAATTTATTAATTTATTTAATTCTCTATAAAAAAGAAATATATTCCAAATGGCAATAACATCAATTGTCTTGTGATTGGGATGAGTTCTTACAGCCATCCAAGTCATTTCTTCTTAAGAGGTGAAGAGATATTAAATTCGAGCTTATATATCAATTTGTTTCAAAGTGAACTACGAAATATTTACAGTGAATATTTGTTTGTGAAGTTTGGGAAAATCCAAAATCATAGTTATTATTATTATTATTATTATTATTATTATTATTATTATTATTATTAATTCTACTATCCTCTTAATAATATTAACGAATTTCGAATTTACGTATTTTTTTTTACGACAACAACTTTACCTAAACATATACTAAAAATACAATCATTATAATTTATACTTTTGAATTGTAATTATACTAATCTTTCCCTCCCAAAATAATAGTAAAGATATGAATTATTTAAAATATACTAAATTTTTTACTATACTATGTATGTTCTTGATGAACTATAAATTATCATAACCACCAAAGCTGGCTGACGTTTATTGGCCCTCAAAGTAAAGCGAATTCATCATTAGATGGTCAAAAAAGATGAATTGTTAAACGAGATTGTCTTCGTTGGGAAAAATGATCCATATCACTTTATTTTCTATTGAGTGGATTTTCAACTTATGTAACTGGACTTTTTTTCAAAAATACCACATTATTTTTATAACAAACTCGAATTCCATCATAAAGTAAAATGAAATTACTTCATGAAAGCTTTTTAATAAATGCCTTTTCATGTTGAGGAGTCTTCTCTACATAAATCCACGGCTATTCAAAAATGGTATACCGTTTTTGCTTTAAAGCTGAAATTATTTTTCAATATCGCTTTGATAGTAACAGACAAGGTGTAGAATACTTTAAACTTTCATAATAAGTTTTAGAGAGGTTTACGAAAAACTATTTGAATTTGATCGAAACAAGTGTTAATCAAGATCTATGAAATTTACAAAATGAATAGTTTGTATAGGCGTGACCGAAGCAAATGTTAAAGACAATTTATACATTTTATAAAACAATATTAATCTAAATTTCTATAAAAAAGTTTTCGTGAGCCTTTCTAAACTTATTAACCAACACCCTCCATAAAGTAATAACCATATGAAAGCTTAAAGTATTCTACACCTTCTCATTTACCATCAAGGCTTTTAAAGCGAAATTGAGAAATAATCTGAGCTTTGAAGTGAAAAAGTAATGCCGTTTTTGAATAGCTGTGAATTCACGTAGAGAAGAAGACCTTTCAATATGAAAAGTATTCTTTAGAAAGCTTTAATCTAGTAGTTTCGTTTTACTTTAATAACAAGTCCAATTTTATTGTAAATATAAAGAGATATTTTAAAAAAGTGTTCGGTACGGGTTCGAAATAGTAGCCGAAATTAATTTTAATATCTAATCAACTAGCATAGTTATTTTTATGTTCATTCATATTAATACAAAGAAATAATATTCAGATATTATTGTCAACTTATTTGGAAAGAGAAGTATTCTGTACTCGAAGATTCCCCAATAAGCTTTTGAATGTGTTGTACATAATGATACCTGACGAAATGTGTGAGCGAGAAATTATCTCGTTAAATTGTTGTTAATCTCGTCACATCATATCAGCCGATTTGGTTTTTTGGGCCTTTTTTCAAACCTTATGTGATGTTAAACACGAGTATTTTTAATGTCAGTAGAATGATAATTAACCCTAAAAAAATTTATTTGCTCCGCTAAAAAAAACTAATTTACTATTCAACAGCCCGTCAAACCAATGGCACCACCTCAAAACCAATGGGTTTTTGCTAGTATAAAGTATTCATAACGTTATGATCATACCGTATTGAAATGTTGGATGATGGCCAGCTTCAATTTATGATTTGTCTTCTTAACTATGAAGACCAGCATCTACATTTTACCAAAGAGCCTATTAAGGTCATTTTTCTGTTAAATGTTTGTACTGTCCCAAAAAGTTTCAACAGAAACGCAGCTCGTTTAGCAAATTAATTATTGTATTGGATGTGACACACTTTCTTCAGAACAGAAAGTGAAGTTGACAGTTGTTTTTTATCGGAAAATAGAGACAATTATTTAAAACAGGAACATTGTAATATTAATAACAGTCCTATAATCATTTTGTCCATCATTCGTTTTCAAAAAAATTTAATTTCCCTCTTTTCACTTTTCATTATATTTTCCTTTTTCCTCACTTGTAACATTTCGTCAGGTAAAATTTTAAAATTCAACTAGAGTGACGACGAGTGACGACCACCACCACTCTTATGATAAACAATTACTATTATTACTAGAAACCATGGATTAATTAATATTAATATTAAAATCAATAAATAAAACAAACAAACAAACAGGTTTGGTACACTACAGCAAAATTTCGAAGAACCCAAGTTATCAATTACACATAATAAGTACATAAAAACATTTAGCTTGTAGCCTATCCTGTAGAATATGCATGCTAAATTTCATGTTTTCTATTTATTGATTATAGGGCCTAGTCAACCCGTTATTTCGTTCAA